GAACGATCCTTTCACAGGGGTTGCCTAAGACCATCCTGCATATCAGATATTTACATGACGATTCATAACAGCAGCAACATTACAGTTATGAAGTAGCAACGAAAATAATATTATGGTTGGGTCACAACATGAGGAACTGTATGTAAAGGGCCAGAAGGTTGAGAACCACTGGGCTAGGCCCAGCCACAGACCCTCAGCACTCATCTCCAGAGCGCAGCCCTGACATTCCTCCTCCACCCCCATAGCACACTTTCCCCCAGGAGGTGAGGCCTCAGCAGGCCTGAAAGCGTCAACTGCCAGGGCCTCCACACAGCCAAAATCAGGGTTATTCACCCCTTCCTGGTGCTCTTCTCCCTCCCCTCTCTACACTCTGGGCTCAGGGTCCAGACTCATGATGTTAGGGTCTGGATTTCAATCTCACACTGGGCCAGAGGAGCCAGGCCCTGCCCAACACCCAGCGAAGGAAGGATAGTAGCAGAGGCAACTTCACGCACACAGCAAAGCAAGTCAATACCCCAGTCCCACCTGGATGGCAAAGACTGCCAGTCACTCTCCTCCCTTCTGGTTGTTATAAGGGTCAGGCTCTAAACCTTAAGATTATCAGGTTCAACTGGATTCACAGGGTAGTGGTCAAAAGCACAAGGCCCAGCTTACCTCGACCACCTGTACTCTTGGCCTTGCCTCACAGGCATCTCCTTAACAAAAGTGATCAGATGGTTTATTTTCTATAGTTCAGTAGTTCACAAAATGTTTTTAGCCATGTATTACTTTTATAATGAAAAATGCATGCCCGGCCGGCGTGGCTCAGTGGTTGAGCATCAACCTATGAACCAGGAGGTCACGGTTCGATTCCGGTCAGGGCACATGCCCGGGTTGCAGGCTCAATCCCCAGTGGAGGGCGTGCAGGAGGCAGCCGATCAGTGATTCTCTCTCATCATTGATGTTTCTCTCTCTCTCTCCCCCTCTCCCTTCCTCTCTGAAATCAATAAAAATATATATTTTTTAAAAAGAAAAATGCTTAATAAGATGGTGAATTCTGGTAAACGGTCTCCAGAGGACTATGTAACCATACTGCTTCATTCATTTTACCCATCTAACATGGGTAAGAACCAACAGACCAGGGTCGCTGCTACTAAGCAGCCAGCAAGGGGTCTGACCTATGGCTCCACTGGGCCTTGTCTGAACTGGGTTTCCCTGGGTCTTCCTCCCCTCCACCCTCTAAGGCAGGCCAGAGAGCTTAATAGTAGAATGATAGCCAACAGCCAGGTCTAAAGCCCCAAAACACCTCTCCACACCTTTAGTCCTGGCCAGGTCCCCCAGGAAACCACTTTTCTCCTCTCTCGCAAAATCTCTATGTTGCCTCCTTTCTTCCCTATACACTATTACACAGGCGGTTGGGGCCATGCAGATCCTTGCAGCATGGACTTCACATATTCAGAACACTTTACAGTCTACGGAGCATTCTGGTTTCAGACTCAGGCTGCTTAGGTTTAATTCCTGGCTTCACCACCTGGTAGCTACATAAACTTGGTCCAGCCACTTAACAGCTCTGTGCCTCAATTCCCTCATCTGTCCATTGGAAAAAATCAAAGAACATATCTCAATGAGCTGTTATGAGGACTAGCCGAGATAATCCATGTAAAATATTTAAGACATTGTCTGGCCCTAACTGGTTTGGCTCAGTGTTTGGAGCATCTGCCCACAGACTGAAGGGTCCCAGGTTCAATTCTAGTCAAGGGCCCGTACCTCAGTTGCAGGCTCAATCCCCAGGCGTGAGCAGGAGGCAACCAATCAATGTGTCTCTTTCCTTTACATGGATGTTTCTCTCTGTCTCTCCCCCTCCCTTCCACTCTCTAAAAATTAATGGAGAAAATATCCTTGGGTGAGGATTAACACAAACAAAAAGACATTGCCTGGTATTTAGTAAGTATTCAACAAAAGTCAGCTAATAACAAATATGATGATAACATTATCATATTTGGACATCACAGCAACACCATGGAAAGGCAGGCCAAAGAGAATGCTGACAAGGAAACTGAGGCTCAGAGAACTGAACCACTTTCCTGAAGTTACACAGAAGGTGAGGAATGGAGCCAAAACTGCAGCTACAGCCTACACTGAAACCCTCCGCACATCCTGTTATCACATAGCTCTAGGCTCCCAAGGCCCTGCTCTTCCTCCAGACACACTGCCTTCAGAAATTGAAAAGAGCTGAGATCTAAGAACAACCTCACAACTCACTAGCCACACAGGTATATATAGCCACCTAACTTATTGGAGGCTGTTTCTGCTTCTATAACATGGGAATAATTATCTACATTAATGTTATGAGGCTCGAATAAGACAAAACACATAAAAGTGCTTTGTAAAAAGTGCAGAAGCCATACAAGTACAAAAAAAATCACCTGACATGGCAACAGATGGTATCTAAGTCTTAAAATAAAATATCTATACAATCCATATTATAAGGATTACAGACAGGAAAAGGATAAGCCAGAAAGAAAACGGGTGCCTGACTATGCCTCAGATTTTAGGTTGTGTTTTGGGTATGTTGAGAGGAAAGATCTACAAACACTTTAAGTTGTGAACACAGTATGAGCAGAGACAGAAACAATTTTGTTTCACTAGGGAATATCAAAGAAGACTAGCTGGACTGAAGTGAAGAATTCAAGATGAGTTCGTCTATTAAACCATAAGCCTTTTAAAATGGAGCCCACAACTTCTTCTCTTTATGACCCCATCACCCTTAGCTCATGGAGTCAAATATTTATTGGCTAAATAAATACATTAATATTGAGATATGCTAGAAGGTTAAGTATGGATAGTCAGGGAGTTTAACATCATGTAGAGATAGATGGACTTGATCCAATAACAGGAAGCCAGTCTCTTCCTGAGCAGGGGACTAGCATAATGAAAACCACTTTAGGAAGATCAAACTGGTGGCTCAGTGGGATGGAGTGGAGACAGGAGCAACTTGGTGAAGATGGGGATAACAGCAAGGGGGCTCCTGCAATAATGAGCAAAGGGTGAGGAGGGTCTGAACCAGGTTCATGAGAGAGAGACAGAGAGTAGAGGAAAGGGGCCCATTTTGAGACAGTAGCAAAAAGCCCTGGGAAGACCAAAAGATTACACATGGAATAAGAGGCAGCAGGCCTGCATGGGCTCTGGAGACAGAGAGACCTGGCTACAGCTTTGGTTCTACTTCCTCACCTGTATGACTCTGGTCAAGATATTTAACTCAGAGCCCCAGTTACCTCATCCGTAAAAAGGGGGAAGTAATGCCTACCTCACAGAGATGTTGTGAGAATTCACTAAGATTGAAACAAAGCATTTAGCACAGTGTCTGGCACAGAACATGTGCTCAAGGAATTGTTGACATCGTCTTCATCATGATTGAGAGGGTACATCAATGATGACATGCACACAACACAGTAGGGACTCAAATTCTGCATAAATAAATGAATGCAGGAATAAGTGAATGAATGAATAAACTTGGGAGTTTTCAAGCATGAGTAATGGAAGAATGATGATTGAAAACATTAACAGAATTGGGTGGGGGGATGGGAAGGAAGACTGAAAGCGTTAGGAGAAAGTAAGTCTTGTTCTTAGGGCCTCCTCTGGGGCAAATTTATTTGTGTACACTAACACATGTATTCCACTATCTCCTTCTAAAATGCACCTGTCATGCAGGCAAAACAGAGCCCATTATCTCCCATCTACAGGTGATGGACTGAGTCTCAGAAGTCAAAGACTCACTCTGAGTCTCATGGCCAGAAAATGGCAGGGGGCACGTTTGACAGGTACCTAATCCTTCCACAGCACACTGGGCCCCACCCCATGTCACATAGGACAGTTCCAAGTTGCATGTTCCCTCAGCCAAGGAGAAGACAGATATTCGCTAGATGTCTAATCTATTTTCCTCCCCAATGATAATAAATACGACTAAAATGTCTAGGAAAATAGTAAGAGAGGAAGGGAAAATCTGTGTCGGGTAAATTGGTTACTAATGATCCTGGAGAACATTTCAGAATATGACAGGATAACAGGTAGACTGCTGGGAATTAAGGAGGAAAAGCCTCTTTGGCACCCAGCCTGCACCACTTCTCTCTTGCTTTTACTGACGCCCCCGCATCCTTTAAGCCCTTGACCTCCTCTTGTCTTGCCTCACCTAACCTTGACCGTGGCCTAAACCAACTGTTTGATTTCCCTGATCCCACTCATAAAGGAAATCCAGGCAGTCTGACAGGAGTCCACACACTTGAACTGAACTGCATTAGGCACTGGGCACAGACTAGTTTGGTTACAAAGAGATAAAATGAAACACAACGGTAATTAGCAAGATCCAGATCTTAAGACTAGGGTAAAATCGGACATCTCTGAAAGGATGGCAGAGAAGGGATAAGTGTGGATGGAAGTCCCTCAGGAAAGAAAAGGTTATCTCACTGAGGGGGGAATGGGAGCTGGGGGGGCTGGAAGCTTGGAAGGCTGGATTCCAGATACACACAGGAACCCAGAGAGAAAACGCATACAGAGCCCTTTGTTCCCAGGTCCTACTCCTATATCTGCTTTACGGATCTCATGTGGAGAGGGCTAGACCCGAAATGGACTTTCTTTACCTCCCCAGCTCTTCATTATCCCCAGAATTGTCTGCAGCCCATTCCCAATCCTTAGCTCTCTCCCCCTCCCAAAGTATCCCCCTACTCCAGGAATACCCAGTGACTGCCAGGCCAACCTCCCAAGGGCCCAGGCCTCCAAGAGCCAGCAAGGAAAGCTACACAATATGTCCCACTTATGCTCAATAAAGGACCTTTGGCAGGAAGGCAAAAGGCACTAGAGCGAAGTCGGGAACTGCAACCTTCCAGTGTCAGCAGGAGTCCTCCTTAACAACCTGTTTGAAGTTCCTGCTGGTTTCTCTCCAGGAATCAACCAGCAAGTCCCTGGCACTAGGACCCTGCAGACAGGGAACCCTGAGCCTGCGCTCTAAAAAGAGAGATGCACCATTTCACAACTTCAGCAAAAGCCAAAGCAGCCAACAAAGCCACAGCCACCTGGGCTGTGCTGGGCTCTGCCTTTTGGGTAGCTCCCTGGCCACTCCCCAGAAACAGAGCATTCTGTCCTTTCTCTTTTTAAATCCACGTCATCACCTGATCATAATGGAAATCAATCTCAAGTCACCGCGCAAAGGCGTATCCATGGCAACCTCAAGAGGAAGGACAGAGAAATGATGCTCCAGTGGCTGCAGCAGAAAAGGTAAGTCCATTTCTCTTCTATCCATACCACCCTCCATCTTCCCCTTTCATTCAAGTCAGGCATGGACCTCACCTGCACATTCCAACTGTCACACCAATGGGGAAAACACAAAACGTGGGTGTTAATAATCTATGCTATTATGTACGGTTATAGGTCTTTCTAGTCCCATAATGGCAGAAAAAATTCTTTTTCTGGCTGGCACAGGCAAGATCTCTTTTCTTATTCACTGTCTCAGGTGACACAGTCTCAGTCTACCTTATACTGGTGGTCTCTTGTCTGTCTGGTCAGGCTGCTGAGATACCACTCAAGGATTTCCGAGTTCCCTACATATTTGTAAAAAGCCAGCAACGACACTGACCTCGCCATCTTGCCCACCCATGCCATGATCATGCTCACAGGCTGGCGTGGTAAGCCTCCCTCCTTAGCAGCCCTAAACTCCAGCCCCTTGAGCACTACTGAGCCTAAGTAATCCTCCATGCCTCAATTTCCTCTTCTGTAAAATGGAGATAATAACAATACTTTTCTAAAAGAGTTGTTGTAAAAATCACATTAAGAATGCCTGAACAGCCCTAACCGGTTTGGCTCAGTGGATAGAGCGTCGGCCTGCAGACTCAAGGGTCCCAGGTTCAATTCCAGTCAAGGGCATGTACCTTGGTTGCGGGCACATCCCCAGTAGGGAGTGTGCAGGAGGCAGCTGATCGATGTTTCTCTCTCATTGATGTTTCTAACTCTCTATCCCTCTCCCTTCCTCTCTGTGAAAAATCAATAAAATATATATTTTTTTAAAAAGAATGCCTGAACAGCCCTAACCGATTTGCTCAGTGGATAGAGCATTGGCCCAGGAACTGAAGGGTCCCGGGTTCGATTCCAGTCAAGGGCACGTGCCTGGGTTGTGGGCTTGATCCCCAGTAAGAGGTGTACAGGAGGCAGCGGATCAATGATTCTCTCTCATCACTGATGTTTCTAACTCTCCCTCTCCCTTCCTCTCTGAAACCAATAAATATATATTTATTATTTTATTTATTTATTTATTTATTTATTTTATTTAAATGCCTGAACAGCGCTTAGAAGAGTGCCTCGTATAAAGCGCTCAATAAATGCCAGCCATTATTATTATGAGGAAGAGGACGGAGAGACTACAGTATAGTTCGGGGGGTACTCAACACTCTTGGAGGGTATTTCAAGTCTGCATCTCTCTCTTTCCTCTGGACAGCGTTTCAAGTTTCCCTCACTACTTTCAAGTCCCTGTTCCTGTCTGAGCCCACACCAGCACTCTCATCCCTCAGCACATAACCTGGTTGAGAAAGAAACTGAGCCTATTACATAAGAATTCCTTTGCAAATTTAGATATATCTTCAATAGTCATTGTCTCTTTCTCCCCACATTCTTCCCTTTCTTGTCATTCCTCTTCCAAGGAAATGATGACCCCTTCTTTAAAGAGCCGACCCCTACGCCCTTCTCTGGGGACCTGATTTTACAATCACTTCTCTTGTGCCTTCAATTGCACCCTCTCTCCTGGCTCTTTTTTTTTTTTTAATATATATATTTTTATTGATTTCAAAGAGGAAGGGAGAAGGATAGAAACATCAATCATGAAAGGAGAATCATATTGGCTGCCTCCTGCATGCCCGCTACTGGGGATCAAGACAGCAGCCAGGCCATGCCCGTGCCTGGAATCGAACCCAGGACCCTTTAGTCTGCTGCCTGATGCTCTATCCACTGAGCGAAACCGGCTAGGGCTCTACTGGTTCTTATATATCATCAAATAACCTGTGCTCAAGACTTTTCTATTCTACAAAAACTGTTTCTAGTCTCTGTTACCTCCTCTGCAAGCTGCCACCATCTCTTTTCCTCCCTTCCCTGCAAAACTATTCAGTGAGTACACCGTCCCTGCCCTCACTTCCCATCCACTCAATTCTCCGGACTCCCTTCCCTACCCCTCCCTCCACTGAAGCTGCTCACACTAAAAAAGTAAAAGCGCCCTGGTGACAACCTCCTAACTGCCCAATCTCAACGTGCATTTTCCAAACTCATCCTACCTGATCTCTCCCTGGAGCAACTGAGGCTGCTGATCCTTTTCCTGGAATTTCTTCCTCCCCTAGCTCCCTGGACATTCTCTCTCACTTTGTGTACCCATCTCTCTCCCTCCTCTGTCATCTTCAGCCTTCTCTTCAGCGTGACTGAGCTCATTTACCCCCACAGCATTGACTACCACTTTCACCTACCTGGGCATGGATGCTCTGAACCTCAGACCCACATTCCCACCTGTCTGCTAAGTGCCAAAGACCCAAGTTCAACATGACCCAAAACACACTCTACCCCTTTCCTCCTCTGCATTCCCTCTTCACTTCTGGCACCACGAACCATCTAAAACAGGAAACGGAGTCATCCCCAGCAACGCCCTCTCTCTTGTTCTCAACAACCAATCAGTCGTCATGTCAGATTAATTCTGTCTTTACAGTCTCTCAGACCCTCCCCTCTTTCCCATCCCCACCGAGCTATCCTTAGTTCAGCCTTAGACCATCCCAGGTTATTACAAGAGTCTCCTGACAGCCCTGATCCAGATTCTCCCCTTTCAGTCTCCTCCCGGTTAGCCCCAAACACAATCTCACCACCTCCCTGCCTAAAACCCTCCAGTGGTTTTCCTGCCCACAAAACGGAATCATCTTAGTACAGCACTACAAGCCATTACAAACTTGGCTTCGTTATGAGCATAGACTCATCAATCACCTCTCCTTTGATCCCAAGTTCTCGTCAATTCCAGCCACTTGGATTTACTCACCTTCCCCCTTATGCCTCTGCACATGTCACCAGGGCCATTCTCCCTCGTCATCTTCAAGGCTCCGCTCAATGGTCACCTCTTTCCTGCGGATTCCCCTGACATCTCCATGCAGAGCTAGTTATTCCCTCCTCTGCCTTCATACAGCATCTTGGACATATCTCTTAAGATATCACATTTTATTTAAAATATTGTTTCCCTTATCCCATTATGAATTCCTCCAGGGCAGAGAGTTTTTATTCACCTCAGTATCCCAAGCACGGAACACGAAAGACACTCCATGTTGAATAGAAGCCTGTACCCGCACCAGGCCCTGGGGATATAAGCTGGCTCTGAGCTTCCACATAGAGTGGCTCCGCCACTGAGGACTGCACCACGGCAGGAATCACCAGTCACACTCAGTGTGCTGGAGTCATGCGCACACACTCCACAGAGATAGCTCTTTCTTCTCCAGATAGGAGCCTAAGAAACTAAAATTGCAGAGACAGCCCCCCCCCGGCAGAATCACCAGTCACACACTCAGTGTGCTGGAGTCATGCGCACACACTCCACAGAGATAGCTCTTTCTTCTCCAGATAGGAGCCTAAGAAACTAAAATTGCAGAGACAGCCCCCAGGCCCTATTGGTTATTTTCGGCATCGATATAACCAGCAGCCCTAAGTTTCAATCTCTAGGCTTCCAGGGTGAGAGGACCATAGCCAGACCACTAGGCTCTTGAGAACGTGCAGATCTTCTGGAAAAACAGCTTTAGTGGGTGTGACAAGGGTCCAGTCTCTGCTTCAGTGAACACGCATCCAACCACCCCCCCTCCCCGCCCCCAGGGATATGTAGGAACTTGGGAAGGTCAGACTGGACATCAAATTTGCCCATCAGCCAAGTGCAAATGGTATGAGCCTGAACTTCAAAAGAAAAATGATATAAAGCCAAATTCAGAGTCTCCAGGATGGCAAGCCCTAAACATCTGAACCAGTGAAAGCTCAGCACTTACTTTCTCAGGGGACTCTGAGGACCCAGCTCTCACGTCCCTTGGTATGGGACAGATAATCCACGTCCCCTCGAAACCTCTGCTACAATCCCTCCCAAACCGTCACTCCAGGAAGCCACTAGCCATGAGGGCAGAGTAAACCTATAGTGGCAGTTGCCAGTGGTATTATGATCCTCCCAACTATTTTGAGTCCTCCCTAACAACTTCTCCTTTGTAGCCTCATGTCAGTCAGGCCCAATTTATCAATTTTTCCTTAGAATTGCCTCCAGCATCCTTCCTCTATCCCCCATTACCACTATCATCACTTTGGTCTGCCATTTAATAGCTTCGAGAATTAAGGCAAATGGTTCTCCCTCTTTGGTGTCTCAGCTATAACACAGGGTAACAGCTACCTCACAGGATTATTAAGTTGAATGGGATCATGCCTGTGAAAGGTTCTGTAACCTGTGAAATGTTATACATAAATATAAGGCATTACTATTATCAGCAACCTCGTCCTCTATTACTGATATGTGGCGTATCTGGCTCCCTGCCTCTCTGCTTTCCCATTTCCAACCACATTATACACCACAGTAAAACTATACATTCTAAATGCTGCTTTCACTAACATGCCATTTCTTACTTGAGCCAACGGTCCTGGATCTGACTTATGCACTGTCATCTCCGCATTACTGTCAGCTGCTTTCCCATAGAGCAGCGGTTCTCAACCTGTGGGTTGCGACCCCTTTGGGGGTCGAACGACCCTTTCACAGGGGTCGCCTAAGACCATCGGAAAACACATATATAATTACATATTGTTTTTGTGATTAATCACTATGGTTTAATTATGTTCAATTTGTAACAATGAAAATACATCCTGCATATCAGATATTTACATTATGATTCATAACAGTAGCAAAATTACAGTTACGAAGTAGCAACGAAAATAATTTTATGGTTGGGGGTCACCACAACATGAGGAACTGTATTAAAGGGTCGCGGCATTAGGAAGGTTGAGAACCACTGCCATAGAGGATGCCTTCCCTAGTCTTGCAAGCCCCACCCATCCTTCAAAGTCCAGCTAAAGCCCCACTACACTCCATGAAGGACTACATTTAAAAGAAAGGAACTGAGCCCTAGCCGGTTTGGCCCACTGGATAGAGCATTGACCTGTGGGATAGAGCACATGCCCAGGTTGCAGGCTCGATCCCCAGTAGGGGGCATGCAGGAGGCAGCTGAGTAATTCTCTCTCATCAC